TTTGGATGGCAAGTATCTGAAAAGACTAGCTTTGTAAAGTTACTCAACAAATTATAAGAGTAGCTACACTGCAAATACAATAATTAAAACTTTATGAAAGCTCTATAGAGGCTACCTCATTGATTGATACCCACCTACACCATACTGCAAAGTTTGTATTGAAGCTCATAGTTTCTGTTATAAATATCGTAAAATTCTTGGAGCGCAACGCTCTGGTAGGTTTTACAACTGCATCTCCTGTAGTTCGAAAATGCTGAACTATTTTCCACGAGTTAACTTCGACACATTTGGGGTCCTGTACACAGATACATCTCGGGTAACTGTAAAGTATATAAACTAGCTAACGCAAGCACGCTATTCTGCAACAATAATTTATCGAATATTGATATTGGCTAAATTGACAATGAAACGAAAAAATATGGGGTTAGCAATGAAAGCATGGATGGATGAATATTCTAGTCAAATCCCTAGACTCACTGTATCCAAATTGGACAAAATTTAAACCAGACAGCTGCTTCACATTTAGCGGATCCTCAGTACTATGGAATCAATTTTAGGAGGAAGATTTAAATCTTTGAATTCCTTTATGGCCAAGTATATAGACTATTAGATTTATTTCCTTCTGAATAAATGGAAGAGTCGCACGTTTTCAAAAGCCCTTATCTTAGTTAAAATTGGGCTAGTTTATACAGACAAACTTAAGTCATTAACTAACATATTGTGATATCATTTACAGTAAGACTTCTGTCACTTCTTCGGTTTTTAAAGGATTTTGATTATTTAATAGCTTTCACTAAATTATCTATTGGGATGATGAGAAAAATTGATAGGCTCTGCATCAAACGATTGTAGTATTTCAAAATTATGTAACCATGAAGAGCAGGGCAGAGATATAGCAGTTATCCATAGCAGGGATAGCCCCCTTTTGTTCTTCTGCTTCGTTATTATAGCTTCGACTAAAGTCTGAAACTTTCATATTTAGCCTCTTGATAATTATTCCTATTAAGCGATGTCCCGTTCTATATGAAGTTTGAGCATTTTTTATTTATTATAAAATACTCAGAAAAAGATTGTGACTGCATTCAGCTAATAAATCATTAGCACACGCTTTCCACACATGTACATTTTCTAGTTCTACAACTTTTTATACTTACGACAAAAGTATATATTTTACATAAACTTGAAGTATATCGTTTTTATTATTTCCAAAGTAAATAAGTGACTTCACCTTTTTAATGGATTTTCTTTACAAGATAAATAAAAAAAGTTTCAAATACAATTTTGTAATGAAGTTTCTTGAGACTTATGATAAGGACCCAAAATCAATTTGCCTAATTTAATGCCATTAGTATTTAGTTACAAAGTGCAATCCAATTAGAACTGATGTAAAATGAACTTGACGGCATTACTGAATTTTGAGTCCTCGAAATATATTGGTGCTCAAACTCAGAATATCGAAATAAATACATTTGTGGCCAGTTCCTTACGATATGTAATAGAGCATTTCTTTATGCAAGTGGCACCGTCCTTCATGATTGTTATATCCTGCAGGCGTTCAAGTCCACTCAACTTCTACAAGAGCATCATGGAATTATTGTATAATAGCGTGGATAATATGATTATACAACTAGTACAATTTGATTATTCCAACCCTCAAAGAATTATAGGCAATAGAATATACAATTTGTTGCTGGTAGACTCGTATGAAGCCTTTTTGTAAGTTTTCACGATCGAAACTTGAGCATGATAATATTTTTAATATTTACTTCATTTCAGAGACCTTGATGTTATATCCTACACGAAAAAGTACGATAGGAATGAGTATTACTACATCTTCTTACAACAACGCGACATTCTTATATTTCAGGATATGCAAGCGATATTTGAATATTGTTGGAAAAATCAAATCATTAATTGCAATGTTCAAACCCAAAATGCAAACGGTGATCTACATATGTACACTTATTTTCCTTATACTCCAAATCACTGTGGAAAAATAATACCTCAACAGATCAATCAATTCGTGGGCACAAGTTGGATACATAAAACTCTTTATCCCAAGAAATTGGAAAATTTCTTCAAATGCCCTCTTAATATAGCAGTCCGCAATAGGCTACCGTTTTTTTCAGCTAAGTTGGAAACGAATAGAACAAGAAACCGGCAAAAATATATGCTTAGAGGGCCGGAAGGAAGACTTTTGGAATTACTACGCAAAAAATTAAATTTTTCTCTGAACTTAACATTTTCTGATATGGATCTTGAATTTGGGAATAAGTGTTGCAGTATTTTGGACATGGTTAGTATAGGACTAGCCAATCTTGTGTTAAACGATTGGAGCACAGCAAAAAGAAAAAATATCTTGTCGCATATGTCTTTATAATATGCAACAAACTGAGTTTTGAAAACAATTTTTTTATTCAAAAGGATCTCTAGGCGTTAGGCACAAAAGTATATTTGTCACACTTTTCCTTAAATCTATTATTATTATATATTTTCTTCTTATATTTTAAAAAAGATGCATATGTATATATATATTCTAATATTCACTTCAAATATTTTCTTCTTATGAATATTATAATTTTCATTACAGGTAATTATGCGCGAAGTCCACATGGGCATTGGTTATCTAAAGCAACGAGCCAGGTATGGAAAGAATTTGACTACAACTCTATCGCATTATCAGAACACAATTGTGGCTACCGTTTATCTTAATGCACACAATTTAACCACATTTCAAATTCTTACCTTTCCGTTCCAATTCCTTTCTTGGTTATTTATATTAGTAATTATTATTGGCACTTGTGTTGTTGCTGATTTTATTGCCCAATGGCAATGGAGGACGAAAGTTAAGTACAAATCAAGTCTCTTCACTAATATCATTAGCACCACTTTCGGTGTTAGTTCAGTAAGAACACCTAAACGTTTACATAACCGTCTCCTGTACATTGCTTATGTTTGGACCACATTTCTTCTACGCTCCATATACTCTGCTTTATTGTATCATCTCTATCGCAGTCATGTGCATCAGAAGTTGCCGAAAACATTGCTAGAACTCCTATATCAAAAGTACACCGCAGTTATGCATCGTGTTAATGCTAAGGATATATCAGAAATACCATACTTCCAAGAATTTTCTTTTATGACAACCGTTGTACAAAATATCACGAAAGAACCGGAAACTATGCAATATCTTGAGAAATTTATTGATGGTAATAAGGTTGCTTTTATTTCAAGAGATGTATTATTTTTTTACGTTAATGCTTACAAGAGATCGGGTATGTTTCACATTGTCCCTGAGGATGTTGTGAATCAACAATTGACATTTTATTTACCCAAGCATTCTTTTCTTATTGAACAACTAAATGACGTCTTGGTATACGTGCAAGAAATAGGTTTCATGTCCTACTATTCTCGTTACAGTTCTAGCATCAGATATTTTAAAAGTAATCATTTAAACGATAATAGAGTCATCGATCAAAGTGATTTATGGGGTTTATATTTCGTAATTGGATTTGTTTACTTCTGCGCTGTGTTGCTATTTATTCTGGAACTATTTTCTAGTAGATGTGTAAAATTGCGACAAATTTTAATAACTATTAGATTATATAAATAAATGAAATTAAAACAACATGCTACGCATACGAAAGAAAATATTTAAAAAATGTTTTTTTGTTAATCTATATGCAAACCACCCAAAGGATACTCTAACCGGCAATCCAAATGATCCAGTTTGACCCATTGTGCTACCGTGTAAAATTCAGATATTTAAAAACTACAATACCTTGAATCTTTTTTAAAGTCTAAAACAATGGACTTTGACAGAGCATATATGAGCCACTTTCTATCTTCCTATCTTTCCAATAAGTCTAACAGCATGGCCGTGATTTGTAATCTTAAAAACTTAACCATTTTGTTTGAATATAAAATTCAAGTGGCAATATGTCGAATCAGATAGTTTGTATTAAACGAAGAGTACAGTGATACATTCAATAATTTATAGAGGTCTTTGGTGATAGTACTATGTCCCAATCTTAAGTTTATCAATTGTACAATTAAACCGGTTTCAGAAAGTATGATGAAACACTCAAAATGACGCCGTATTTGGGCGCCCTAACACTTCAATCAGTGAAACGTGAAAAAAAAACTGAACTACTGCTTATAAAAGAATTACTAATAGAGAGGTTTCTGTAGAAAAAGATATATCATTCTTCTCATAATCTCATGCAAAGTGATTTTCATGACTATAGTTTTACACGTTTGGTACGAAATTTTATTCCGAAAATATGTTGTTTATCTAACATTACGTTGTCCGTTTAAGCACGAATATCAAATACCTTGATCTAATACTTTACCCTTATCTTAGCTTTAAAACTAAAAGGGTCTGTAAAACAACTTGTAGTATTCACTATTCTAGAAGATCTGTGAATCACAACTGCGATCTTTTACCACGGATCATACTTTGATTTTATCTGACAATGGACTATCTTGTCCCTTTAGCCAAACTGCAATCAAATGTTTAATAATCGTTTCAAATTCATTTCAAAAAAGGTAAGAACTCTTATCAATAAACTGAGTCCACTTGTTGTACCCCTATGAGTACATGGACACATGTACTCAACTGTAGGACTAGCGAGATTGCCAAACCATAACCAAAAAGAACTGACAAAGTTGCTCCTTACTTTTGGACATTTATGCGCTAACCAATTTGGTATTTATACCTATTTTGGTAGTAGCAAAGCGAGGTTTGTTGTCGTTGTTGTACATCTAAGAGACTTACTGCTTTTGTCCAGGTTAAGAGTGGCAAACGATATTTCGTCTTTTGGACAGACAAAAAACTTCGGTACTTAGACATGACCGCCTGGAACCAATGAGACCTACAGCTAACTTTCATTCCTGAAAGCAACATACTTGTATATGGAATTATCTTAAGCTCTTTGAAGGTGTCGTTAATTATGCTAATGATCTTTTTCGATACCCTATAATGAAACAAAAACAAATAATCAATTTATTAATTATATATTTATTCAAAATAAGTTTACAATCTCAAAAAACAATATTTAAAGTTAGCGTTTCTGTAGCAAATACATTCAAGTCACTTTTATTTGAGATAAATGCAATTTTTAGGATGGACTACAGCTCTTTGGGACACAGAAATATGGTATAACAAATATAGCTTAGTCTTATGTTAATAAACAAGTAAAATGAGAACAAAAGATACATAATATTGATAATAATAATAATTAAAAACTTTAGTTGATTTTAAAGTAATTCGTATATTATTTTTTATATTATTATTAATCTTCGCAATAGAAATTTTCCAATTTATATGCTATATGCAGTATCTAGTTTATACAGATTATTTATTGCTAACTACGGAAAGCTAAGGTATATTTGCTGATGGGCCACTGCAGCCAAGCAACAGACTATTTATATACATATACTTGAATGTGTCCAATACATAGAAACACCAACTACAATTTTATACAATTGTTTTACAAATTGGCAAATAATTATTTTAAAACTAAACGCAGATATATTTTAAACTAATATCATAAGAATTAATAAATGCATAACTGGTTTGAAAAAGGCACAAAACTTCGCTTTCTGCGAAACAAGCAAATAAAATGTTAACTTTACAATTTTTGTATTAAAATCGATGAAGCACCACCACCTCCATTGCATATGGAAGCGCAACCAAATTCACCGGATTTCAAAGCATGTGATAAATGTGTCACTAGACGTGCACCAGACATGCCAATTGGGTGCCCGATTGAAACAGCACCGCCATGAACGTTCACTTTAGTCGGATCCACATCTAATTTTTTGATATTAGCACAGACAACCAACGAAAAGGCTTCATTGATTTCCCACATAGCTACATCTTGTTTGTGTACTCCAGCACGTTCTAAAAGTTTTGGAACAGCTAAGGCTGGAGCTATGGGAAAGTCAATTGGATCTGTTTCAGCATCTTGGAAAGCAACAATCCGTGCCAAAGGCTTAAGTTTAAAACGTTCAGCAGCTTCATTAGTCATCAGTACAACAGCTGAGCCGCCATCGTTAAGAGTGGATGCGTTTCCAGCTGTTACAGTACCATTTTCTTTTTGGAAAACTGTTGCTAGCTGGCCGAACTTATCAAAATTAACGCGTTTGTATTCTTCATCTTCAGATATTAAGACTTCTGGTTTGCGTTTTTGTTGTATTTTGACTGGTGCAATCTCAGCATCAAATACTTTATCAGCCCAAGCCTTAGCAGAACGTTTATAAGACTGAATAGCAAAGTCATCTTGTTCCTGACGTGTAATGCCCATTTTTTTAGCTGTATTCTCAGCACAATTTCCCATGTGGAATTTATTGTAAACATCAGTGAGACCATCGAATACTATTCCATCGATTAATTGAACACTACCGTATGGTGTTGCACCACGTTTCAAATAATATGGTACATTGGACATAGACTCCATACCACCAGCTACAATAACATCAGATTGTCCGAGCATTAACGACTGTGCACTCAACATAACCGCTTTCATGCCAGATGAGCAGACCTTATTCACTGTAGTGCAGCATACATTTTTGGGTAAGCCAGCAAATATAGCTGCTTGACGTGCTGGTGCCTGACCTAAACCAGCGGAAACTACATTTCCCATATAAACCTAAAGAAAAATAGTTAATAGTTATATACATATGTACTTATTTACGTAACCATATTGTTTTGATAAAAAAAAAATTATTAAAGAGATTTTAATTCTCATTTAATTTAAATTATTTACCTCCTCCACATCTTCCTTTGTTATGCCTGCACGTTGTACGGCTGCTTCAATTGCCACAGCGCCTAATTGCGTTGCAGATAAAGGTGCTAATTGACTCTGGAAACTACCTATCGGGGTACGTGCTGCCGATACAATGACCACATCGTGCAGTTTAGAACTGTAGAGCCGTGCTTGATTACAGAGTGCACGCGATGCCTTTAGAAAACTTGCCATTTCAATTTCAGTCTTCTTAAATGTGGTCCAAGTAGTGGTTCAACAAGTGGTGAATATTCACTGACGATCGTGCGATTACCCGAAATGTCAACGGAGGTTGCGTAATTGTTCTTCACCTGACATTCGCCCATTTCGTTCTTTTCATCAGCTGTTCTTAACAATAAATACATACATATATATTAGCAACAAATTTCATTTTAAAAACAACGATAAGCACTTCTTATAAAATATTTATTATTTATTTTAAAAAAGATAGCTTCATTGTTTTCATCTTCTAGAGTTGCCACTCCTGCTAAGTGAATAAACATAATAATAATAATATTAATTACTAACTGTATTTAATTATTTAATTTATCACTTAAAAAACAATTTAAAATTTCATTTATTACATATTAATATATACTATATATGCAATCATTAATATTGTATTTATAAAGACAAATATAGCAAATTATATAGATTATAGATTCTATAATCAATAGATAAAAATGTTCTTAATTTGGATTTATATTGACTGCTGAATAATTTAGCATATCATTTATAAAAGTTCCAGTAAAAGTATAAATAATAATATTAATAGTTGGCCAAAAACAGCTTAACAAAAGTAAATCTCTAAAGATTAATATTATTAATTTAGCATTTAATATCTGATAATTTTCTCAACTTTGAATTATGAATACCGATATTTTTTTTTAGCGTTGCATATTAAGTTAAAAGTCGAAGTTTGAAAAATAAATTTCGTACTTAGTTCCAATATACTAATCTTGTGTTAAGAATGAGCGGCCTTTGATTCAAGATATGTATGAAGACAGTTTACTTCTTCAATGCGTACAATGTTCACAAAAACATTTTAACTGATATGTTTGCTGTGAAACACACAAATTTCTGCACTGGTTCAGTTTAATGGGTCTCTAACCTTTGATTCGATGTTAATGTTACAAGAAAAAATATGTACTTGTTGCAGCCGAATTTATAAAACCGAAATATTTAGATTTCTGACTCGGTTCAATAACACCAAAATATCGAGTGTTCCGATTCAAAACCGGGTGTTATTAAAATATATAGTTTTTTAACATATTATGTAGATATTGATTTTCAGCTACTAAATGATTTATATATAGTAGAAATGTATAAGTACAAGGTTTAATACTACTAACAACAATTAAATTTGCATTCACCAATTAACTTTTATTACCTTAAAAATTTCCTCATAACACCTAACACCGAAGCTGATATAGCTAATAAATCTAATTAGACATGTTCCTACTGCAAGCAATGGGAACTTACCTGTACATATACACATATATTCACACATTGTAATATTTTTGTAAATAAAAGTAAAATAAAGTACTGCGTTTATGGCTTCATCCATTATTATATAGAAGATTTTAGGTATACTGTTCTCCATTGTCTCATAAATATCTTATGAAGTTGAAAAATACAATTTATTTTTAAAAGTTTCACTCATACATCAGTTGTCAAAATTTATTAATTGCAAGAATTTCCCATTTTGGGCACAAATTTTTTAACTCTGGTAACACCCCATCAAATTTGCTAATTCACGTAGCTTCTGCCGCAAGAACTAATATTGCTTAGTTATTTGCAGGAAAAATATTTAAATAAGTGTTCATATTAAATTTAATTATATATAAAAGTAATGACTACTGGAACCATGCCTGCTGATGGTGTGCGTGAAAAGGCGCTGTCGGAATACAGAAAAAAGCTTCTGGAGCATAAAGAAGTGGAGTCTCGTCTTAAAGAAAGTGAGTTGATAAAAACCAAAAACCTTCATTATTTAAAATATATATTTTTGTAACACAGAACGCGAAGAAATAAAAGAACTGACCAAACAATATGATAAATCGGAAAATGATTTAAAGGCACTGCAAAGTGTTGGTCAAATAGTTGGCGAAGTATTGAAGCAGCTGACAGAGGACAAATGTAAGCAAGAAATATAAAATTTTATAAAATTTACAATAAAATATTTTTCGCAGTTATTGTCAAAGCTACTAACGGACCACGTTACGTTGTGGGCTGTCGACGACAAATCGACAAAACAAAACTCAAATCTGGTACTAGAGTTGCCCTTGATATGACGACATTAACAATTATGCGTTATTTGCCACGAGAAGTTGATCCACTCGTATATAACATGTCGCATGAAGATCCCGGTGAAGTAACATATTCAGCGATTGGTGGTCTCTCCGAACAAATACGTGAATTACGTGAAGTTATTGAATTACCACTTCTAAATCCTGAACTATTTTTGCGAGTTGGTATTACTCCACCAAAAGGTTGCTTGCTCTATGGACCACCTGGCACAGGCAAAACACTACTGGCTCGTGCTGTTGCTTCACAACTTGACGCTAATTTTCTTAAAGTTGTATCATCTGCCATTGTGGATAAATATATCGGTGAAAGTGCTCGTCTTATACGCGAAATGTTTAATTATGCGCGTGACCATCAACCGTGTATAATCTTTATGGATGAAATTGATGCTATTGGTGGTCGCCGTTTTTCTGAGGGTACATCTGCCGATCGTGAAATCCAACGTACGCTTATGGAATTACTTAACCAGATGGATGGTTTCGATTCGTTGGGTCAAGTCAAAATGATTATGGCAACCAATCGTCCTGATACACTGGATCCAGCATTACTGCGCCCTGGGCGCTTAGATCGTAAAATAGAAATTCCATTACCTAACGAACAGGCACGGTAAGACTTTTTCTTTTCTTATTCTTTCTTATTCTTATGTTCCTTTAAAATGCAATTTTAATTGGTTTTTCAGTATGGAAATCCTTAAAATTCACGCCTTTAAAATAGCCAAACACGGAGACATTGATTACGAAGCCATTGTTAAACTGTCTGATAATTTTAATGGTGCTGATTTGCGTAATGTTTGCACTGAAGCTGGATTGTTTGCCATAAGGTTAGTTAAAACCGTAATGTGTCAATAATTTATTAACATTCCTTAAAATTGTATACAGAGCTGAACGAGAATACGTCATACAGGAGGATTTCATGAAGGCCGTCCGCAAAGTCTCTGACAACAAGAAATTAGAGAGTAAATTGGACTACAAGCCTGTTTAAATGTAAATAAAACCATTATAAAAATCGAAATCCCTAACAAAATTTATTTAATAAAAAACAATTTACATAATTTTATAATTTAAATTCATTTATTTTTGTGTTTCTTCGATGCGTTTTCTTTTACGTTCCAAATAATCGCTTACATTATCAAAATGCTTTTTAAATCTGGCAGATACATCTTCAGGAGTCCAAATATCATCTTGGAACTGTTCTTGTAACATATCTAACCAATTATCAGGTACAGGAGAAGATTCTGGCAAATTAGCAACACTTAATTGTAAGTGATTGTCAACGATGGCAGCAAGGTAGAGTCTATCTTTAGCAAAACACAAATTGCTTATACACATTTCAGGAAAGTTAAGCACGACATGTTCAGATATATTCCACCCTGAAGTTTCAGTTCTGTTTATGTTATATATAGCAACACTTTCATTGGGTTGGTAGAGCAAAACAGCAACTTGGTGACTGTTCTCACTTAATTTCCGATGCGAGATCTTAAGACCTGGTGCTGGTAAATCTATTTTCGCTTGTTCTTTACAATTTTTGTAGTCCCATAAGCGTAATGACTTATCGCCCGATACTGAAACCAATGCGTCATGTGATAGCAGAGCTAAACCTGACACAAACTCCGTATGACCCAAACAATAGCCATGTATTTCATAGGTTTTTGGATAGTTTGTTATGCGTATTTTCTCATCTCGATCACAAGTTATAATAAATTTTTGGTCCGCCGTCCACAAAACATCGTACACAATACTCAAATGTCCTAAAAGTAGCCGGGGTACAGAACTCATGTTGATGCAGTCATACTCGTAACAATCTCCAGTTTTATCTGTTACCAATAATTTACTTGAATCACTAGCAAAAGTCAACGCACTGGAAATGCGTGCCAATGATCTTACCGATACCAGCTTCGCATGTTCGAGTCGGCATTGATAGAGTAACAACGCCTTCTGTCCACTCGTCGTCACAGCAAGCAGTTGACCGTTGGGCGATAGACTCACATGCTGTATATTTACTTTTTCCTTTGACTCACTTTCAGTTGGTTGATTCTTTGAATTTTTTTCGTCTGTCTTTTCTACTTCATCATGATTTTCCTCTAAAGTAAATGGTTTTAAACCATGTTCTGTCAAATCCTCTGGTATGAAAACTTCTTTAAATATTTGCAGATCATTTGGATTGACGAATACGATTTTTGAATTTAGTGCAACAACTAGCTCTGGTTCAGCATAAAATATTGTTGTCATTATATTTACTTATTTCTTAAAAAACATATACGTAAACGAATAGTCATACAAAAATGCAATTCGATGCCAAATATGACAATTGAATGAATCACACGTTGGTGTACAAAAGCCGCTGTACAATAAGAAATCATAGATTAAAGTAGAGAACAATCAACAACAATCAACGAATACCTTATATACTGCATACAACGTAAACGTGCATATATAACTTAAATGTGCATATATATACATAACCAAAATTTTGTACATTGTTATTAGAACGGACAATAGTACGCTTAAGTACGTTTAGGATTTATTGTGCTGTCAGTGAGGAAAGATTAATGCTTATATATGGAATTATATATGATTCAGATTCCACACATCTTTTGGTTCAATAAAAGTTAAATAAAGTTACTGGACTCATATTCTAGGCTAGAATTTCTAGTAACTGTTGGATATAAGCATTAAAATGCGTTAATAGAATAGAATCTGCAGGTGTCAGATTTTTAACACATATTTTATATATTAAATAATTTTATTAAAAAAAATGAATTTTATCAAATAATATAGCATACATCTACATATATCTGTTAAGACATATACTATATTATCAAATATAAATAAAATCTTTACAAATGTTAAAATTATTTTAGATAGGTATCAAAGAAATCAGGACAAAATGTTAATAAGCTGCCAAATTGCTTAATTTTCTTTAATTATAGGCATTTTTTTTAACAAATATACATAAAAATAAATATTTTAATTTACTTTTTTTGTACATCTTTAAATCAACAGTTGACGATTTAAATCCTATAATATTTTTTGCAATTTTGTATGTTTGATAAAACGTAATGTCGTTACGTTTCGCGTACACTGAACACACCTAACATGATAAATAAAAACCTTTTTTCTTTGATAAAAACATTGGCGCAGTATCAGCTGTTTATTAACATGAATAATAAAATTAAAAAATATACAAAGGATTTGTGAATAATTATGGATTTAAACAAATGGAACAAACTTGAACAAAATCACCCAGTATATATAATATTGGGATCTGGTGGACATACCGGAGAGATGTGTAATATTAATCAAGCTTTGATGGGGAGTAGTAAAGGACAAGAACTTTATAAGCCTATAAAGTACGTTTTAGCTAGCAGTGATACAACGTCACGCAAAAAAATCTTCCTAGCAATGCAAAAGCTTAATGTAACTATTAACGAAGAGGATTATGTAGAGGTACCGCGTAGTCGTGAAGTAGGGCAAAGCTGGCTTACCACTATTTTTACAGCATTATGGGCTTTATTGTGGAGCTTTTGGCTTGTTTGGCGGGATAAACCGCGTCTAATAATCTGCAATGGTCCTGGTACATGTGTACCATTTTGTATCGCCGCTTTTGCGCTACGTTTGTTGCATCGACTGCCAAAAAACACAAAAATTATTTTTATTGAAAGTTTTTGTCGCGTTAAAACGTTATCTCTGTCCGGAAAACTGTTATTGCATATAGCAGACATGTTCGTGGTGCAATGGCCGTTTTTAGCAAATAAATACAAACACAAGAACAACTTAAAATATTTTGGTAGACTGATTTAATATAACATTGTAAATAGTTTCATTAACAAAAATAATTAAACAAAAATAACGATTTCATTATTTGCATTTTTTTATATGAATAATAAGAACGTCATCATCAAATTCTAATCCACAGCGTGGACACTGACGTGTGGTTTTCAAAAGATTCCGTTGACGATAAGACCTGGAATTTTCAAATGAATCATCAAGCTCACATGTCGTAGAATTTCCTGGAGATGTAGTATCCGATAAACCGATAGTATCATCGCTATTTTCAGATGAAACAATGTTAACTAAATCTTCTTCAGTATAACCGGCGTTTCGCAATAAATCCCTAGATGATGGCCTAGGCGCACGAGGCTTCCGTTTGGGTTTTACTTCACGAGTATTAATTAGTGAATTTCCCACTTTTTTGGCAGGAAACAAAATTTTTTCTGTTATGCCGCTACAACCATCTAAATGTTCATTTAATACAGAACGCTTCATTTGGTTTTGACATATAGGGCACTTTATGATATCATCATTTTTGTTGTGCTTATAACGTGAACCGGTTGGGATTACATCATTTTGGAGATTAAATTCTTTCAGCAATGTATCTTCGTCAAATAATTCATCAATTATTGACGTATCTGCTAATTCCGTAGCAACTGTTAAATTATCATCAAATTCGTCGTCGATTAAAACTATGTCAGATTCATCTAAGTTTGTGGTTTCGTTAATTATTTCCTGCTTTATCAATATTTGTCTTTCATCGGCAGTTAATCCCTTTCGTATCTTAGGTGTTGGCAGCTCTACGTCTCCATCGTCACAGCCACTACTATCCGATATTTCAACAACATTTATAGTATTAAGTTTAACTTGAAGATCCTCATCATAAAAAATCCAATCCTCATATTTTTCTTTATTCCCACCTGTAGTATAATCACCGTTCTCTGTAGTCTTTCTGCGTTTTGAGTCGCCTGCAAAGAATATGTTAATTAGAAGAAATATGTCTAAAAATGTGAAACTATTGATAATTGTTTGGGTGGATAAATCAGGAGACATACATTTTTAATTAAATGAGCGACGCAAAACATATAATACGACATAATACGAAGTCTGTATGTAAGCATACCTGTCAATTTAATATCATTATTTGTAGAATCTGTGGGTGAAATGAGTTGATCAGTTTTAGTAGCTGAAGTCATTGTGTTACCCAAACGTTTAAGCCACACTTCACGTAGGTGATCGCGGTCAACACGACCACTTTTGCTAATGTGACGGGGTGATGAAATTTCACTACCCAATGAATAACCTCGACCATCCATATTTGGTTGCGGTTTTTGCACATTTGTTGTACCCCCGCTATCACCTGCCAAATCACGGAAACCCATAACATTGTTTAAATTGCCTCTTGGCGGTATAACAGCCGCGGTGGCGGTACGATTTGTATTTGTAGTTTCTGATTTAGAAACATTAAATGGATCGGTTGAAAGACCCGGATAAGAAGTTGGTGGAAAAGATTTGGCTATAGATGAAATTCCTGCATTTAGAGTAGAATTGTTGTTTGGTTTTGGTTTTGGTTTAGGGTTAACAACAATGGTACCACCACCATTAGATTTTAATGGTCCTGAAAATGATAGTAAGTGTGGTTCAATGCAAAAATTATAAACTCAAATATTTTTGACCAACCTTTATGACCATTAATACTACTGCTAAACCCATTCGTTTTTGGTGTTGTAATGAAATTGTTACCTTCTTTTGGTTTATTATTATTTTCACCAAAAGTAGTGTTGTTGTTGAAGAAATTACGTATGTCAGCTCCACCAGCTGTTTTCTTTTTGTGCTTACCTTTTTTCTCTAAATCTGGACCCTTGATTTTTAAGAAAGTTCCACCACACCTTCTTTGATGCTCTGACCACCACTGATCATGTGCGCTAGGTGCACGATTTGATGATCTCTTAACATAACCATAGAAAGGTGAACGGTTTTGACATATACCATTACAGCGCCACCAGAACTGTTTGTAATGTTCCACTTCGTCATAGAATGTGTGATAAACCTATGAATGTGTGTTATTGAGATGTGTTATTATTGTTATTAGATTATTAGATTTAGAAGTACCGTAATATTTGTTCCTGCTACTCTGTTAATGGCATTCATGATTTTCTTAAAATTTGGACCATGTCCACCGTTACCTTCACGAATATTTAAAACAAAGCAATAAGCGTGTATCATTTCATGCTATAACCAAAGTAAACCTTTAGTTAGTATTTTAAATTAATGATTTTACCAGCATTACCAGCATTGTTTCCACCAAGTCTTTACGTGGACGTAACTTAAGTAATGGTTCACTTAAACGCACAGTTATTGATTTGCCAAACTTGTTGCCTTGATAATAGCAAATACCAGCGCATGAATACATGCGTTTGCTCCACTCTAAAGAGACACATTTTAATTTCCCTTTAAAGAATTTTTCGTCAAAATTCGTGAACATCGCAAATATATTGGGAGTAGGATCAAGTTTCTCCCATTCTGGGTGAACCAGATTTTGAGTGCGATTTAAAAACTCGTCATCTAGGTTGGAGCGCGGATTACTACGTTTAACGGGCTGCTTTATATCAATTAGTTTTGGCAAAGCTGGTACTTGGTAAGACACTTCTTCTAAGTCCTGGAAATGCATTATTAAAACGAATGTTAAGTTTGATTATGTTATTTCACTTACAGAATCCTCTTCATTTAATTGTTTTTGTAGCTTTAAGGCAAATAAATAGTCGGGATCATCCATATCCAAAATTTACAAAGCCTCAGTTGACTTGAATGTAAATAAAAACTTAATTGTTTCAGTCAGAAATTACTACAATATAAATCATTAGTTCGAGTTGAGGTGAGTTAAAAATATAAATCATTAATTCAAGTCATTAATGTAAGTTGAAAAATTGCGCCGATTAAAACAATGTTCTAACATTGCAAGCTAGACAGTAATTTTATTGAGTGTTTGTTTGATAAACAAGGAAAGAAATATAATAGATTTTTTGACATTTATTAAAAATATGACAGAAAGGGAAAGTATACTTTTTATATGAATTTTGAGCGAAGTTTAAAATCTTACCGTGGGCATGTAAAATTTCAAAAAAAAAATTAACAATATTAGTAAATTAATAGGTCTATTCAACCAGTTACTCATAGTAAAACTCGAGTAAAATACAAATAGAGTACACACTGCGATCGTAACACAAATAAAGTGCTAAATTACGCTCTTTACACAGATTTTCAAGGAACAGATTTGTGTAAAATTTGGTGAGAACACCAGTGCCGCGCAAATAAATTCAAACCAAAACAGCTGATTCACACATCACACAAATTTTGCTTTAAATAAAATGTACTAGTAGAGTTTGTGTAGCATTTTCAAAATTCGACATTGATGTTACGCTCTCTCAGATTCTCTCATTTACTCGAAAATTTGCTGATGACACGCACTTGTGTATACACAGTATTTCTCGAAGTTACTATGATAGCTCATGGAACAGACCTAAAATTTCGTATGTATATCTTTTGAAATATATAGTTTGACTTGAATATTTCGTAGGGATTTAATTTTCGAAATAATTTAATACACATTTTTATGATAAAGAAAATATGTATTCTTTTGACATGATACCTCCCATAAAACACGTGGTGCTTAAAAATTAACATGCAAAGCAAAAAGAAAATGCGCTAAAGTAAGCCCACCTTCATGAAAGTACTTACCCACCTTCATGAATAAGTCCCTTGCACTACAATGATGCCAAATCTTAAAACTGATTTATTGTGAATGATTTTTTGGAGGAAAATGGAAAACTCTAGTCATTTGTTTATTATTTACAACTGTGGCGAGTGTTAATGAGTAAGTTTAACTATTTTAAAACTTGATGTTTTAATAAAATTAGTAATTATGCGTGTTCTGGTCATGTTTCAGGACCAGATTCTTGTAAGGAGCTAGAGCAAACAAATATTTCAAATATTTGGTCAATGCGCCGCTCTTTGCATCCTTCTTATTTCTCCGATATCATGAATAAAGCTTAAAAATAAGTATACTTTTATATAAATTCAAATGCATGCAATATAAAACACTTACCAATAACTTTTTTTTATCATTCTTTTTATATATGTATATATATATAAAAAAACTTTTTATAAAATTCAACCGAAATTTGTTTGAATCGTTGTCAGCTGTTTGTTGATTCAGGCAGTGATGCCAAGTTTCTTAAGTAAATGTTTTATAGAAGTGATTATGTCAAAAGAATACACCATATATTAGACTAAAGTTGTGAGAAAAAATTGTTAATCACTAACTAATCAATAATAACTAAGAATCAATATGATAAATTTCCACTAAAATGCTATTATTACTGCAGTTGGCAGTTGAAAATTAAAAAGAATTGTGTATTATTATTTTTCAAATACAGTAAACAGCTGACCGTGAACTGGAAATTTCATATATACTTCCAAAAATCGTTCACAATAGACGAGTTTTTAGTCTTGGCAACCATGTAATTTGAGCTGCTTATTAGTTAAGCGGTTTCAAAAAGATTGGACTAAATAAGCCAGTAGTGTTGTTGTTTTATACGTTATTTTTAAAACAAGCGGTTGTTCTTTGTGATATGCTTAGAAAAGAAAACGCCTATTATTATATTTTTATCCAATAAAATATTCAAGTTTTTTATTCATTTATTTAAACATTAAAATTTATATTATACATAATTGCATTTATCTGCGACAAATTTATGTTTAAACGCAAATTAATGTAATTAATCAATAAAAAACTTTTTTTTACTATATTTTCAATTCCCAAGAAATCCAAACAAAAAAGCGGTAATCAAAGCAGTCTAATAATTATTTAAATGTATGTCAGACAGAAAAAAAATTAAAAAGTTTTTTGACAATTTATAAATAAGTAACAGAAGGAGAAAGCAAATGTGACTACATTTGACAGTTCCAAGTATTTGCTTGATATGTAACACATACATGCACGCATTTAATTTAATTTTTCGCAGCGATTAACATAAGTAATAAAAATAGATTTTATTAAAATCATTTCAAATTCATTGAGAAATAATAATGGAAGGATTAGTCAATTACAGTAGCGATGAAGAACACGAAGATTATGGCTCCCAATCTATGGTAAATATAAACAATGAAAATAAAAATTTTAAAAATGGCGTCGTAGAAATGTAATATAGAATTTTTTTCCGTAAAAATTTTTGTATAGATTTGTTTCTATTTATATTTTAATTAGACAGCATAATGAGTTAATTTAACTATATAAAGTTGTTTTTTTGTTTTGAAAATAATATTATTTGCTGTTTCTGAATAGTTGCGAATTCTTTAGGATGCCCGCAGAAGTCCTAACTTGGAACTAAAAAATGGGAACGCTTTGCTAAAGGGCGTTGGTGGCGTTAGTGCAGCAAATGAACGCAGCAACTACAAAAATGAGGTAAAAACAAATATAAATATATTAGTTATTAAATATATCCAATAATGGAAATTTAAAATGTGTGTAAAAACTGTATATATATATATATCTGTATGTATGCATATATGCATATTGTAGGCCAATTAGTATTTAAAGGCAATTACGGAAACTGAATTTGGGTTTAATTATCAGTTGTTGGTATCTTTGAACAATTTTTAACTACATTCGTTAAACGTAATTATTCGATAAAATTAAATATAATGGATTTGTGGAACTCAGGATCAATTTTCACTAATACTGAAGAAATAATCTAGAGCTTGCTCAACGTATATTTGTCGTAATAAATAATTTTACAGATTAATTTTACTATAAAAATTTCTATATTGCTATATATATATATATTATATATCAGGTGTGTAAGCTACCACTGCTTTGTATCACTTATTCATATATGTATATTTGGAAATGTAAATATTAAACATTTTACATGCATGATTACCACAAAAATAATTCTGAGTTTCTTGATCACAGTCACTTTCGATAGAAGATCAAAAAGTATTATGAACTGATCAATTTCAGACTAGTGATTCTTATAATATGCATTGGTTCAGAAATTTTTTCGCACATCAAAGTAAAATGCGGACAAATCTTTGATTTCACGCCATCATATGAAAACATGATGTAGCGATCAGAATTTTTAAACAAGTTTAGACCTATTATACCCTTCAGAGAAAATGTCACATCATATGGGGACTAGTTGTGGTTACACTGACTTCCACAAATACTAGCAGAGTTTCGCTTATTTGTCAACATATTCGTCAAATGAAAAAATGAGACTTTTCTGTGATAAAAATCCGATGTTTTTTAAGTTTTTATAATATCAAAATCTTAAGCGACTGTTAAACGATTCCATATTGTAAAATGGCAAATCTTAAATTAAACAATTAAGCAGTTTTGTTGAACATATGTTACTGAAGCAGCTCTGTCAAATCAAGATTTCAAAGTTGATAACCACATAGACTCTGGAACTCCATTGTGTGTACTGGAACACTAACATGGATTTCAGCAGACATTGTATATACTTTTATGTTAATTAACTTAGACTGAAGAAAACTGTCTAAGTGGTAGATTAACTCGCTTCAATATTAAATAAAAAGGGATTTATCCAATTTTAATTTTTCATATAAAGTATACTTTTTAAATGGACTGTTCTCTTGATCGGACAAAATTATTGATCTCGTCGGCGGCGTTCGTTTAAGATGGGTTTTTCAGTTTATTTTTCTAACATTTGTTGGAAGTTAAAAAAAAACTACAATTAACTTAAAATTCTGAAGTTCCATTAAACTCTTGCTGTTATTGTTATTTCCGTCTGCTAAATAAAATTTAGCCTAGCCTACAACGTGTTGCCGTTTGAACTGAACAGATATTTTAGTTTTATAAATGTAATAATACACTTTATTTTCACTGTAATATAATATTATTTTGATGTAGTACTATCTGGCGTACTTTATAGACATTATCGTACAATTTTCAAAATCATATCTCGAAAAAAGCGAATCATATATAACTATCATCTTAAGTATCCAATACCACCAGCCATAATCACTGTCACAAATGATATTTCATATACCATGTCGTTTAAGATTATTTGGGTGCATTATGTTCATATTCATTAACAGTAACGATGTTAATTATGTAGTTCAAAAGTGTATATTTGAAAATTTTGAGTGATGCTTTATACTGCTATTTGCAATTCTCTATCAAATAAAATCCAAAAATCAACTAAAGCATTTCTCATCGATATTTGACCTTTTTTGGCATCTATTCTGTATTATTGAACCAAATTTAGATACAAAATCAAAAAACTAAATTTTGTTTGTAAAATAACAATTTTTCAAATTAATTTAACTAATGGGAAATAGAACATAATAATATATTATGTATGTAATGTATTTTCTTCTTCTACGTTGATTTCATATTTTTGGTATAGAGTCACCTAACGTTGTTCTTCTTTGTTTATATCTCTGTTAATAGAGCTTATAATTAAATATATTATTTTTTTAAATTATAATGGTAAAACATAAATTAATTAAATATCCACTTTTGTTGTTATTATATATAAAATTATCGTAAACAACTCTACGTTGAAACTCGTACAAAAATAAAAACTCTTCGACCTCAGAAACAGCAATACATAATCGTATATAAAACAGATTGACTAGACTCCGAAGAAAAACTCAAAATTGCACACAAAGTGGTTTGCGATGTGCAGGAAATGAAAAATAATTTTTTACAGAAATTAAAAAAGTAAGAACGTCTAAAAAGCCTAAAGCCTTAAGACATTTTTATGCAATATTATGCAGTTAAACCCGAAGGAGATTTTTATGTGTGTTCCCTTAACTTTACTGATTAGGAGCTGTGCTTGAACGTGAGTATACTCGTATTATAACAAACATTTGCAAACAAAATTTAAGTTCTCTTACAGGATATACTACTTATTTAACATTATAAGTTATATTAAATTAAACTATAATAAAAAGAAGGTGAAATGGTGTCAAACGAAAGTTAGAATATGTGGTCATATTTTGTTTTAGAGCATTTCTAGCTAAAATCATATATTAATATAACAGTGTTTTCCATTAATATTTTTATTACAGAGTTCGAGGCGAGATAAATACAATGCTACAGAATTAGGCAGTAGAAAAAGCAACTCACCACACACCAGTCGTGAAAATGATAGAAGTAATCGTTCCACAACCCAGTATAGTAGTGGACGTATGGTCGGAAAAGATACTAATCCAGATTCATCGTACAATAACAACCGTACTGGGAGCAGGAATATTCGATCAGGATCTCCTTATACTAATCGTGATAGTAGAAGCAATCGCGCTGAATCCCCATTTACTAATCGTGATAATGGTAGAACCAATCGCGCAGATTCTCCATATACTAATCGCGATAGTGGTAGAGGCAACCGCGCAGATTCTCCCTATACTAATCGCGATATTGGTAGAAGCAACCGCGCAGATTCTCCTTGTACTAATCGCGATAATGGTAGAAGCAATCGCGCAGATTCTCCTTATACTAATCGCGATATTGGTAGAAGCAATCGCGTAGATTCTCCCTATACTAATCGCGATAATGGTAGAAGCAATCGCGCTGATTCTCCCTATACTAATCGCGATAATGGTAGAAACAATCGCGCAGATTCTCCTTATACTAACCGCGATAATGGTAGAAGCAATCGTGCAAATTCTCCCTATGCTGGTCGTGATAGAAATCGCGCAGTTTCTCCTCATGATAATAAGGACACTGGTAGAAATGTTCGTCCAAATTCTCCGTATGGTAGTAATTATCGCGAAAGTGGAAGAGACAACCGTTATAAATACGAAAAAGCAGTAAGTAAAGTGTTGATTTTTTAAAAAGCATTGTTTTTTATTTATTTAATCTTTAGAATGAGCGTAGTCGTCCAAAGGAGCATTTTAAAAATGATTATCACACCGATCAGCGAAGATCACAACGTGACGAAGATCGAAGTTCTAAACATCAAGGAAATTACCAAAGTGAACGTCAAAGTAATAGTTCTCGTAATGAACGCAACCGTTATGGAGACATGTCACGTCGAAATCAATCACATCACTATGATAGATCACCACGACGTGATCGTGATCGTGAACGTAACGATCGTTTCTCTGAACAACAAAGGCGTCGTCGGGAGGATTCTCGTTCTCCTTCTCCAAAACACCGTCACCACAGGCAACGTTCTGGTTATAACGACGATAAACCACGTTACCGTAAGCGTGTGTCTCGTTCACGTTCTAATTCTGCTTCATCTCCAAGACGATCAGGTTCAAAAGATCGCACACAAAAATCCCGTTCAGCAACACAAAACGCGGATCGCAAAATAAGTACAGATGAGGGAAAAGAAAAATTGAACCCAAACTTCAATCGTCATTCGGAAGCTCTATTATCATTACCACTCAACAACAATGCGCCAAAACAACCAAATATCATTGCAGTTACTCCTTCGACCACTACTACAAATAATGGTGAACCTGCTGTCATACAGTTACCAAGCTACTATAATCCTAGTGTCATAAATCCAAATAAGTATGCAGAACAGGTTCAGAAGCGTAAATTAATTTGGGGTGCGAAAAAGTCTGAAGACACTTCCGCAAAATGGGGCAATGCACAATTTTCGCAAGATTCTGATGGTAAAGTTGCTTCCAAGTTTATGCGGCTAATGGGTATTAAAAACAGTGCACCACCTACTCCTACCACTACTACTGAAGTTGAGAAAAAACCTACGGAACCAGTGGATGTTAAATCTCGTGAAGATATGTTCTCCAGCATGGAAAAGCAATACGAAGTTGCACGTCAAGTGACTCACACAATGCGAGGTGTTGGCTTGGGTTTTGGGTCGCAACCACGACCATTTTAAAGAGCTTAAACCCAAAATAATGTATGTATGTTTGTAATGAATCTTTTTAGTGTAATTTTTTTTTAATTTAAGAATTGTATTATTTTAATAAACATTAAGCAACAATGTTTAACTGTATCTGTTGAAAACAAATTAAATGTGTTTGTTTTATTTCTTTAACGGTTCGAAATGTAAAGCATGTGTTTAAATAATTAAAGTTGAACTTTAATTTAGAAACAAAAAAAAAACGGTTGGTTGTAGCACATTAAAGGGATTAAATATTTTTCCTCAATAAAAATTGCGTTTGTATCTAAAATTCATATAAGATGAGATGATTTGGTAGAATTTTTCGAACATCTGAAATTAGAATGTCTAACATCATATCTTTTATGCACAAATAGATGTTTACTAATTCATTTCTATAACGCCATCTAACGTTCAAATAGCCACCGGTTCAACGAAGTAAAATTTTGTATTTATAATCAAATTCAAAAATGGACGGAAGGACATTTGTACTGTACTTTATCACGATTTTAATATACAGTGAAATCATAACTAATATTATATACACACTAGTGCTCCATTCTTAAGCTAAAATAATATTGAGTGGGTGATAAAGTAGAAACAGTTTTAATATAAAATTCCAGCAATTATTTTTTTGTATTCTTATTTGTATCAATTCGATTTAGTACTGTACATATCTGAAGTAGAGTGAATTCAAAATATATTATGTACAGCGGCTAATGTACTCAGCTGATTTTGACAGTGAAAACGGAAAAAACAAAAAACATAAATAATCCGAATAACAAATTTTGCCAAGTTGTCACCAAATATTAAAATTTTTTTAGTAAATTCTGATAAAAACGAAGTAAATTTAATGTGCTAATTTAGTATATTTATATGCAAGCAATATTTAATATTTGTGCTCTACAATGTCCTGGTTGAATAATAGTTTGAGCACTATCAAAGGTCAATTGACGACTTTGGCGCAAGAGGTACTAGCGGAAACTGCAGGCCCTGGAGATGAAGATTACCGCGGTCCGGTGGATACTAGAACAGCCGTCGAGTTACTTGCAGTTACAGAAAAAGAAAAAGAAGAGTTAAATAAAGTATGCAGTCAACAAAATGATGAAGTAAGTAATGTCAGTGATGAGAGTAAATAATTACGTGTTACTTTTAAAATAATTAATTCTTCACATTTTCGGTGATGCTTATTAGAATTAGTGAATTATTCTACAGATTAAAATTCATATACTGGAAGAACATCAAGAAAATATATGAATAAGACTGTTGTTAGCCAACTGTGCTGATAAGCTGAGCAAACTAATAGTGTTGTTATTGTTTCTCGGTGCTGGTAAAGTCTGCACAGATTCCGATGTAGTATTAAAGCTCTGCCGGAAATTTTAAGCTTCATTTTGTTTGAAAATACTAGTGACTCCGAGTCGTAGACACTGCCTGCCGGAAACACCAATAATTTATAAACAGCTAATATACTATTTATTTATTATCTTTTCGTATTAATATATGAAGCCCTTAAAGCATTAATAATATTTTTAAGTGGTAATTATGATTTATAAAATTTGTCTGCTCATCATTTGAATGTAGTTAAATTATTTATTTCTCTTAAATATAAAAAAGGTATAGAATATAAAGTACAAGAAAGATTAATGCTCGAAATAGTTTAGGTGCTTAGCACAATAGTTGTTGTTGTAACCCGAAGGGACCCGTACCACAATAAACATAAATTTCTTACATTAAAGTGGAGAATTGTGCAGGATAGGGAGGAATAGTTGTATAGATGGGTATTAACTGAACCTGGTCTAGGTATAAATGTAGCAATCTAGCCAATTAAAACAGAGATAGTTATATATCACTACGACCTAAGATAGTGTGCATTTGGACAGGAAAATAGTTGGCATCACGAGGAGTAGAACTGCAGTTAGGGCATATATTTTGAAGTATCATATTAATGTTTATTAAGTAATTATTTAGCACTTGACTATATCCTAAAAAGATGTCCTGGAGAATTGTTGACAACTTAATTACAATGCATACCTTGTCCCAAAGAAGACACTGTTTCGGTATGAAGGATACTCATATCTCATTTATATTCGACCTTAGTGATGTTGGCCCACTAAAATATGTGTCGATGTATTAATACACGAAGAGATGTTCAATGTATGCACAACGTGAAGGAAGTGCTCTATTAATCGTACATTTATATTAACATATAATGGACTATGGACTATAACCTAACAAAACCACATACGGTCTTACGAATAATGGGCAGAATGTCAATCGTTGAATGATTCTTAACATCAGATGAGAGTAGGGGACATTCACAAAAAGTGTAACTAAAAGTTTCAACTAGTTTTTAGTCTGAGAGTTATTTTGAATTCAAGGTGATTGACAGTAGATATATTTTAGTTCATATAGATTTCGTGGCAAGATAGTGTACCAAGTCTGTGTATTATGTTTAAAGTTCCCAGTAGTTACTGCAGTATATCTAAATTTTTCATATAACATGGATTTACATATACTGTTTGGTTCTAAATTGTAAGAAATCACGCTCTACAATTCTCTTATCTTGCTTGTTCTGTTGTATGATGCAAAAGCTTCGACAATAACCAGTAGTTATAACAAGAATGCATCGCAAGATGAGAGAAAAAAACTTTCGGAAGGTCTATGGCTCCATACGTGTTAGTAACAAGTATCGAATTAGATAAAATTATGAGCTGTATGAACTATGCCATCGATATAGTTAAGTGTAAAAAAATGTAGCTGCCTCGGTGATATCATAAGAGTAGATGAAAATGCTTCGGCTAGAAATTTGTTAGATTTGGTACCCACTGAGGACAAACACGGCAGAAACCATCCGCATCTTCGATAGCAGAACCAGTTGAGCAACAATATGAAAGCATTTTGTACTACTGTACTATAAATAGGCAAAAGCAAGCCACTGATTGAGTTGGCTACAGGGTTCCAAGGTCAAGTACGACTCATTTCTGTAATGGAAAGTGCAGGACTAGGTTAGGTTGTAGCGGTTACCTTTTAACATAATGTACATACATCGTTGTGATATCAAGAATTAGTGTTGTGAATTAATTGGACACTTTTATAAACTCTTTAGGGTTACAACCATGACATTATAGGATAGACTTACTATCAGAGCATGTCCTTCTAGTACGCAGTTTGTAGAAGGTCATTCTTGAATTCTGATACGAGTTTTCATCGGTCTAATCTATACTTAGTTATTGCCAGCTGTGCCTTTGCAAGTGGGACACCAAAATTTGAAAAATGAATGTCACTAAGTAGGGTTTGGCCTGCCTTGGCAAGCTTATTTGGCTTGCAGTAGCCCGATATGTCCCTGTGTTCAATTACCCATTTGACTTGATTAGCACGCTTAGTTAAGTCGTTAAGAGAAGTCCAGAATTCTTGAATTATTAATGATGTAGCTGTGGCACTTACAAAGATTTGATAGTAGTTTGTAGTAGTAGTCTGAGAAGGTTACGATATTTATATCGGAGATCCTTGTGCGTACTGAATTGCTATTACTTCTATCTGAAAGACACTGCAATGGTTCGGTAGTTGAAGCTATGAAGATGCTAAACCTAGTTTATAAGAAAACATGCCATCCCCGACTCTTTCGTATTTTGACCCACAGTATAAACATATATGTCTGAAAACATATAAACTAATATTTACTTTGAAGAGGATTTATTTGCAAGTTAATATTGTGAGGCTTAAAAAGTATACTAACTAGAGCCTTGTTGTTTGCTAAGTTAAACTTCAGTGCAGGGTTATGAGATATTACATTGATAAGTTTTTTGAATTGGTGTATTTCCATATATTACTTGTTACGTATGAATTTATTTAATAAATTGTCATATCTTGCATATCGGAAAACTAACTAAATAACTTTATTTATTTATTTTCAATAGATTTCGATACTTCGCAAACAGATTACAGAATTACAAAACAAAATTAGCGACAGTGGAGGTGGCAGTGCTTCAACTTCAGCGGCTTTCAAAGCGAAAACAGCAAAGTCGGTGAGTGTTGCAATGTTTACCAACTTATACGCCTATTAGTAGCGCAGCTTGTACTATTTTATAAGGTCTAATTAAAAAACAAATTACTAACAAAATACCAGAAAAAATTGACCGAAAAATAAACTAAACTGAACTGCGTTCAGTTTGCAGCGCTGTTTTAAGCAACAATATTAACTGAGTGCATGGAAGTACTAGTGTATATACATACACATATGTACGTACATAAGTTCAAATGTACTATAAATGCCTGTATATATTATATATATATTTGTAATTTTTAGCATTACTGTAAGTCATACATTTTTATGTTATTTTTTATCATGTATGAGATAACAAATTTATTCCTTAAATTCGTATTCCAAAGCTAATATTTGGTTAGTGATAAAATTTGTTTTTTATATCGCTTTTTTGCTTATCGCAGTGAATCAATAAGACCTGAAATAAAAAGTGGACTTGATAATAGGTGGGGAGTAGAGCGGTTGCGATTGTTGTTACATTCACCCTTAACCTCCATTATTTTTCTATGATTGCATTTTGGTAGGTTTTTGAATTTGTTTACCTGTAGGTGAAATGTGGAGATAAGAGACCCTTATATGCAGCAACTGCTTCGTGGAAAAATTTTGTTATGCACTTACATATATGTATATAAGTATTAACTGTATTTTTGATTGCAAACTACATGACAGTCTTCAGTTCCTCATTATATCTTTTATACAGGTTTTTATCTCTGGTTACGTCGGCGTTATGCTCCACATGCTTAATGCTCGCCATGTGTGAAATACTCTACAAACTTTATTGTATTTACTTAACAATTATAAATATATTTTGAATTGTGTATGGAACGTTATTTGATTATTTTAGATAAGGAATTATAATCCACATTATGCACACAACTGTACCTGTTTACGTTGAAAGTTCAAATAGGTCGAGTTCTTTGCAATGCTCAAAACATGAAATCGGTTTTGTTTTGAATTTATATTCGGACTTAGTTCTGGCTTAAGCTAAAATTTAAGCACTATTACTTAGTTGCAATATTTGAAATATTAAATATAGAAAACAATAGTAGTTTATATTATACCTATTGTGACATGTCTTTCCTCCTACCCTAAACAATATCTGTGTGTTATAATTCATAAGAATTTCCTTATTTTACAGATTCTTTGGGTTACTACTAAAACATCAACATAATCTTAGGCTGTTGTTGTTGCAATAATAGTAGATCTATACTATTTATAATAATAAATAATAATAATAGAACGGAAGTATAAGGTCAGTTGTAAATCCATAGTTTAGTTTAATATGCTTAGCTTGAACCTGCTTTTTTAAATACTAATTAAATTGCGATTTCTTGAGCGTTCACATTCGACAAAGAATTTTAGTAAATATGGCTATTTTGAACAACCTTGTTCACAGTATATGCCTATAATACTTATGTTAGTCTTCAAGATATCGGACTTTAAAGTTCGATATTATTACAAGAAAACTACCAACAATAAGTAGATTATCTAGCGAAGTGAAAAAAGTTGTAGCAAATACCTATTAAAATCTATTGTCACCATTATAGTATAGTGTCAAACTGTACACAGATGAGCATACTGTACGGCAGTAAAGACAGCATAGCAAAAGGCTAAAACCTATATCACTGGAGTCAAGCATTATTCCATCCATTGCTTTATATTAATGCTTTATCTTATACCGTGGAACCCTAAGCATTACTGCATCCATTGCATTATATTAATGCTTTATTAATTCTACTTCACCATGAAAAACTAATGACTATGGACATAGTTAAATTCTGGTTATCAGTTTGGCTTTAAGATATGTTGATTTCATCTGTATCCGTCTCAGTCTAGTAAGTCAATTGCATTCGTAGTTATCTATTGTTGAATAGTCCTTCATTGAAAACGAGTCTAATCATTTGTAGTGACAGCTGTAAGATGGGTAACGCTATACTGAGTGTGGAAATGGATACATTCAAAATATTATGGAGTTTCTGACTATTGCGATGTCTTTCAAGGGTACTATTTATGCCTATGACTTCTTGACAACACATGCTGCTGACCAAATTTAAAGTAATATTGATTTTTTTTTAAGTGAATAAGATTTTGCTCAGTTATATATTTATACTATCAAATAAATATCATTCTGCTTGGAAGTGTTAAAGTTAAGCCAAATTAACATCTAAGACGATTCTACGCAGTTTAACATATTTCTTCTTTGAATTCACTATCATAGGTATAACGTAGGTAACTAAAAACTGAGCTAGCTATATGCTATGCATTAGTGACACGTTTGAAGTATGTGCAAACCTTGGTATATCTCTAAATAAAATCTGAAATTATTGTACAGAATAATTAAGTATAAAAAGATACGAATCTACAATATGGAGGCATGTTAATGCTGTTTTATTGAAATGCTTCGTAGAAATCCTAGTCATTTCAATTGCAATGGTTTGGTTGATTGGTTGGTTGCAGTGACAGTGGCAGTGGCTGGCCATTAGATAAGTTCCAGGTACCTCAATTAGCGATTTTTCGCTACCACATTTTTTGCTACCACATTCCACGCAAGAACCCTAGTATAGAAGAGTAGAGACTAAATCCACATCGCCGAATTTAGATAATTTAATAGATCTTTCCTCTTCACCGATAAACAGTCTGATAAACTATCAAAGAAGTGTCTTCCTAAAAATCTATAACTTCTGGACGCCAAAGCCGGGCATTCACAGAGAAAATGTATTATGGGATCTTTTTCCTACGGGTTTCCCAAAACTTCTGCAGTGAGGATTATGGGGAATGTGCAGTTTCTTTGCGTGGGTTCTTATAAACCAATGACTAGAAAGAACTGCAGTCAACCTTGCAGTGTTCACGCGGTCTCTTTTGAAGAGTTTCGAACAATGGTTTTAAAAACATAACCTTTTTAAAATAACTTATCACGGAACGTATTGCTTAATTTTTAATAAAGTTTTAAAAACAAAATCATAATTCAACGTCGCTTGGTTGTTGATATTGGTAAGTGACTTTAGAATTTAAAGCTGGGATTTGTGTTTCTTTTAAGTTTTTCTAAATAAAATATGAACAGTTGTATTAATAGTCATCGTCTTGTCGAGTGCCTGATCTTATCTAATCTATCTAATCTAGCCTAATATTAAACAAATATTCAAACTATTGGGGTGATTTGACTTTTTAATAGTGTACAAAATATATATGATAATTCAAAGATCATCACATCTTAAAAATCGTTATTTTTCGTATATCATATATTAATTTATTTATTATTACTACATTTCTGTTATTTCAGTTAAAAAATAAAAAATAAAAAGAGTAGTTCAGCATATGCTATTTTCGTTATCATTTTATTAGATAAAAAATATCCCCAAAATCATTTATGAAAACAACGTATCAACCCTTATTTTTGGCATTTGGATCGATATTACCCTTTTGTTTTTAGTTATTAGATGATAAAAGCTGGTCTATCTTATCTCTTTTGTATGCAAAACATATCCTATTGGTTAGGTCCTTATCATGCATTGCACGATTTTGACATGTTGCCGAATGTGCTCACCTCGCGCCCCAATTTGAATTGTAGGGCTAAACTACTGTAGCCTCGTGGCTATAAATATTGACTCACCTGCTCGAAACTCTTCATTTCAGTGACTAATTCAGTTGAGTTAAAAGAGAATTTTTCATAAGTGTAAAGCAATTAAATGCTATGGGTTAGCACTATCCATTTTAAAATTTAATTTTCCAGGAATATTTAATATATATGAATAGCAAATAAAGTGCAAATGGATTTGCTACTTTTTAATTTTCTGGTCCAATTAATTTAAAAAATAATACTGTTTTATGTGTGTTGGAAATAATTAAAAATCTTTTAACGACTAAAATGTTAAGATCAGAAACAGATTCTTTTCAAGAAATCTTATTTACACAAGTCAAGCGAGGTAAGTGCTTATTTTTTTTTTTTTAAATTTCAATTAAATTTAAAATTTCTATTAAAATTAAAAACTTAAAAAAAATAAAAATAATATTTTATGGAGTTTAGTTTGTAATTAGATATTTTGCATGAATTTGTCATAAAAATCAGAAGACAGATTTTTTGCTAATTATATGGTTTTTTTTATTATTTTAAGATTTCAAATAGTTAAAAAAATATTTTTTTCAATTTAGTAATTTTAAATAATATATTTAGATATAATATTAAAGAAATTGGAACTTTCCCTTTAGAATAGTGCATTTTCTCCAGAATAAAAAGGGGTTTTCTTTGAGTATATGTGTACAAAAGTTGGTTTATTTGTTGCTGGTTTATAATTGAGAACTTTTATTTAATAAATTTATTATTTGGATTTTGCTAATAATGCATTGCATTAATAATAATAAGTAATAAGTTTATAAGTTCTGAATCTTTTCGACTGCTGTGGTTATCGGGTATATGCGTCAGAGACATACGTTCAAGTTCTGCCTTTTGCCACAATTTTTAAGCTGATGTTCTTCAGTATCTTATTCCTCATTGCACTGAATCTTGGTTAACCCAATGAATTTCTAATAGCTCGCGACAACTTCTCTTTAGGTGTACACATTATCAGGTTGTTTTTTTTTGTTTTGCTTGGGTTTGTTGAAGAATCCCATAGTTTTGTATTTTAAATAATGAAATTGAAGATAAGAAAATAGTTGTATGAATAGTGATCGATGTATATGGCTTATGTTTTTGTCATCATAAGGAAATTATGGTACCACTTCTGGTATAATTATTTTCATGCCATTAATGTTAAGTCATTGGGTTAAGGAAAGCTATTTTGATTTGTTTTGTGTATTATTAGTTGTGTGCCATTATTCCTTTATTCTAATATTGCAAAGTTTTAGTTTTGCTAAACTAAGTCAAGTATTTTCACAGTTCATTATCGGGGCTAAATTTGACATCCTTATTTTCAGAATGAAATTGTGTGAACCATTTCTCGGCAGTTCTTTTTACCATAAACATCACACTTCTTTTCACACTTCTAC